AGCGTCGTTGTGGGGGGTGATCACTCCTTCTGTGTCTGCATCATTAGAAGTGATACTTTCATCCTCTAAGGTTTGACGCACTCGTTTCCCGTGCGTGATTGTGACTTTGGAAACTTTATTTGAAGCTGTGTATGTTACTCCATAAATATCTTCTCCCCCACTTATAACATTCACGGTTCTCTTGGGTGATGGGGGTTTTGGTGGCTCTTGCCTGTTTTTCATGTAGGCTTGCTTTCCTTTCTCGCTAAATAACTCAGTGAGATAACCTTGTTTCAATAGATGGTCCACTTCACTTTGTAAGAATCTACATTCTGAAGTCTTATGCCCGTGATATCATGAAATTCGCACCAATGATCTGGATTGCGCTTGTTTGGATTTGATCGCATCTCTTTCGGCCACCGTACCTTATCTCCCATGCTCCTTAAAACAGCTACGAGCTCGGAGGTAGTGACATTGAAATTATATCCACCAAATCTTGCCTTCAAACTTCCATCATCATCTCGTGCCCCGCGTATGTTTCGATTATTCGCAAACCTTGACGAGGAGCCTGATTCCCTGTTCCTTGATTTTTGATCATATCGTTGATTATCCTGTTTTGTTCGTGAATCTTTTCCTGCAGGACCCATATAAGGATCGTACCTATTTTTACCTGATCTTTTTTCAGTTTCAGATCTCCTTGAACTGCTTCTTTCTTCATGTTGAAATCGAGGCATGGTATCTTCTTCGATTCGCAACTTCGTACTGTACCTGTTATACACATCATTCCACGTGGTTGCAGGGAACTCTCAAAAGCTTTCTTAAGTCTTCTCGTGGCTTCAGAACTTTTAACATTTAGATTGCTCGCAAAAGCTATTGCAGCCCAATTATCTGGTACACGGGGTAAAGTCATTCGTTCACGTTGGAACCTATCAACAAAATCTCTAAGCAACTCTGTATCCCCTTGTTTGATTTTAAAGATGTCCTCCATTCTTTTTTCAACCTTTTGTGCTCCTGAGTGCGCCTTAATGAAAGAATCTGCAAACTCAGCAAAAGAGTTTACAGAGTTTTCAGGCAAAAGAGAATACCAGGTTAGTGCACCCTTGGTGAGTGTTTCACCAAATTTTTTGACCAACACGGACTCAATCTCCTGCTTGGTTAAATCATTTCCTTTGACCCCTGTAGTAAATGCTGTCACATGGTCACGTGGATCGGTTGTGCCGTCATATTTTGAAATGTCAGGCATTTTGAACTTTTTAGGGATTGAAAGGGGAGCATCACTTGGTTTCCAAGGTTGTTGTGAATATTTATCCGCATCTATTCCTTTGATTATTGGGGGAACTCCAGGGATTTGCTCGATGCGCTCGTTTTGTTCTTTGAGCTGTGTCTGCAAAGTTAGTACCAAATTTGTAAATGAGAATTATTTGTATTACCTGGATTCATTTCTCGTGGTTCAATGGGGGTTCCTTCGTTTGAATTAACAAGGCCAGAACGAGGATTCTCCAGCGTATTGTTATTAGGCGAAGGTGTGGACGGCGCAGCAGGTAACCGGCTAACTAGCGCCTGAAGAGCTTGGCTAACCCGTGCATCAATTATTCTTTGCAGAGCTTCTTCTGGTCCCTCAAAATGTTCTGATTGCTCTTGCTCATCAGCATGTGATTTAGGAGTGCCTTCACGAGATTGACGTGGTGAATTTTGAAGAGAAGGGACCACGTTAAAGTTCTGCAAATCTCCTTGATCTTGATGCATTTGATTTTCACGGTTTCCCAAGGTGTTTTCACTGTTATTATTGTCGTGTGACATGATGATAACAACAGATAGAATGTAACTTAAAAAGAATAGATTATCAGATTCCCGGTAACGGAACCAATTTGTTTAACCAAAAATATAATTTCGGTTAAAACTAGAATTTGAGATGAAAAATCGGGTTACTGATAATCAAGAGACCAAAAAAAGAATAATAGGCTTTCTGAGAATAATAATAAAGCAGCGAACAAGTTTTTATTTCAGTATGATATCAACCATGATCTTTTCCCAATACAACTTCCTCCTTTTATAGTTGATTCTAGACAAAGGAATGAAACCTAAGCTTTAATGAGACAATTATGGACAATAAATGATATTAAATGAGCCGTTACACAATCATTCCTATTAAATACCAATTTTCTAACGTATCAGGTATTTAATACTGAATTTGGACTCCTTTTTGTCTTCAGATCCATGTTTTCAATGCCTTTTGATTACGAGACTCGTATCTAAACTGCTTCTCGTGCCTGTTTCACTTCTTCTTCTCGTATCTGTCATCTCCCGTACCTTTTTCTTAATTGTTATACTTTGACTATTTGTCCAGTCCACGTGTCACGCCACGTCATTTAATATAAATTCAACTTTTTCCCAATACATTATCTTTCTTTCCATTCTTTTCCGTTGAACTCAGTCAAGCCAATCAAACGTCCTTTAATTAAAAGATAATTAAGCCATTCTCGGACCCTAAAATAACACATATATAAGTACAGAATGACGTAATCACATATATCATAATCTAGCCACGTTCTTTCTTGGAAAAACACTTGCAGCTATATCTTGGTCTTAATGAAGGAAAACAAAAAAAAAAAAATTAAAAAACATATAAGATGAATAGTCAACATCCAGCTTTTAGGCATTATTTGTCTTACCAAGCTTTAACCAAAACTCCCACTATTTATACATTGTTGCCTAGGTTGTTTCTGCCCTTTCTAAACAACACACTGAGCTAATTCACACTTTCAATGGTTTTTTGAATGATCATAAAAACCATGCAAAGCTACAATGATGACCCTTTGAACAACTATTACCTACAAACCCTTAGCAACCAACCAAATGATATTTCTGTTACCAAAATGACTACAACCTTAAACTGTGACACTACAACCTTAAGCCCTACAAATTCATTATCTAGTCATGACTTAAGTCCCAAAAATTGTTGTATAAAGAAACCAATCCGAAGAAGATCTCGAGCATCCAAGAAAACTCCAACCACTCATCTCAATGCAGATGTCTCGAATTTTCGAGCTTTAGTACAACAATTTACAGGATGTCACACTGCTAATACTTTCTTAGGAGCTCATAAAGGTCCAATTAACTTAAATTTTGGACTAGATGAGAATGAAGATTTTGATGCAGATAATTCAATTACTCATGATTTGTCTTCATTTGAATGTGATAATTACTGTGGTTTTAAGGTTCAGCCTCAGAGACAAAAGCAGCAGAAGGAGAAGAAGATGGTCAATATGGAAGATCAAGAACAAAAGGGAATGTGTTCAGTTGATCATAGAATTATTGGTTCAAGTTCAACGACCAATAGCAGTAGTCCTCCGATGGATTTTTTGACTTTAGATGATTTTGAATTGGAGAATCTTTCTATTCAAGATTTCACTGGAGAGTTTACTTCTACTGATGAAAATATTTGGGATGATGGTTATTTGATCTTTTAGTGCATAGTATATGCTTTTCTTTTAATTTTATTTTTTCGTTTTTTTTTTTAAATTTTCTTCTCTTTTTCTTTTCTACTTACTCTTTTGGGCATATAGCCAAGGTAAGAAGAAAATGAGAAAAAGATTGGTTGAGGATCAAAGTCTTCAATTTCTTTTTCAAATTTCAGTACCTTTTTTTTCTTGGATTTGTTAAGGTTTTTAGGTATTAGTTAAAAGAGGATGTTCATTATGTAAATATTTATCCTATTTAATGTCATCATTAAAGTTGTGATACTCACCTCTTGATTTAATGCGATTTGTGAGTTCTTGGTAGTATATATCAGGTAAATACAAAGAAAATTAATTGACCATGTATGTGATAGCCTTTTCTTTCTTCTGCTTTTTCTTGATTTTACAAACTTGATGTTCGTCTTTTAAGAAGCAATTTGGTCACACATCAATGAACATGAGAACTTAAACGACGACCCAGAGACAAGTCTACATCCACCACAGAACAATCCACATCAATGGAACTAGATTAGAAGACTTTTCCCCACCTCTCTCAACTCTTATCACTATAATTACAAGTAGAGGCGGATTCAGAATTTAAACTTTATGGGTTCAATCTTTATGTTATTGCATTGAACCTATTGTATTTTTAAAGTTATGGGATCATATAAACTACTTGTTACAATTTTAAAGAATTTTTACACATAAATTTATGCGTCGTGGCAAAAATACCGGGTTCAAAAGAATCCGGCAGCAATATTCTGCATCCGCCTCTGATTACTAGAGGTGAATCTCCGAAATTATTGGCACCCAATATTTACACTAGTCCAATGAATGCATAGGATGTGTTATTACTGTATTTTCATCACTTAACTATTGTTCATTAAATACTTGCTTTCACCTAAACTTTACATAACCATATAAAACTAGTGTACATAGTTGGTGTAAATTAGGTGTGAGTAATTATCTTCGACTGTCCCCATCTTCAGAGAGCTTGGTTGGTTTGTACTAAGACGAAGTCTATCAGCGCCCTACGAATCTTATGTCCTACTCTTTGTACTGTTATTTATATAACTTTTGGAGGAACATTGTTAAACATCCCTTAGTAGTGCATATATCTTCCAATTTAACCTATTAAAACGCCCTTTCTTCTTAGGGTAAATAGTTTGAACAACCCTTAACTTTTTATAAATCCTAATTCCAGCTTTTAAATAAGTTGTCGTCTTTTGGACTACTACTTCGGCTTCAACCAAATTCTTCCATCAAGTTTCACTTAACGTCAAAAGATATTGGTATGTATAAACTTAAAGGGAGCAGAAGAGCTTCTTAAGTCTCTTTGAAACGTAAATGGTCATTTTGATGATGCCTTTGCCTCCTTGAATATGTAAATGCTAGTTTTGGTGGCTATTAGTTTGCGCGCATGCACCTCAATTACTTACTCTGGTACTTGTTGCTTCCCACCAGTAGAGGTACCAGGCAACTTTGCCCGCTAATGCTTAGACAGATGACGATTAAATAAATTTTCCACAAGGGCAGTGAAGAACAAAGAGCATAACATTGATGCAGTGCTCAATATTCCTACAGAAGTAATATTCATATATCATTTCAACTTCCCAAAGAACAGAAGCCGCCAGCAACTGACTTATTACAGGTTATTCACTCACATAGTCGGTTTAACTTGTACAAATCAACAATCAAGAACAACACAATCCGCGTAAATATCTAAAACAAACAAAGATTGCAAGATGAATACGGCTTGATAAGATGGGTGACATGGTACAATATTAAGTTATTTCGAATGTTTGGGGCATATAGAAACACTATTCCATCATTAACGCCTTCCAGAGGCGACTGATTCAGAAGAGAAGAGATACTTCACTCGTGACAGAACAGAATCGTGGGCAGGATCGTATGGGTGGTCCTTTGAAGGAATCTCCAAAATGGCTGGAATTGGTTTATTATAACTATCAACCAAAAACCGTATCATGTTGGCAATCTGAAAAAAATAAACCAGGAGGAATAAGTTATATGAAATGCCAATTAGCTCTACTTTGGACCCTTGTTTTCAGTGAGTCTTCAGTTAACGAAAAGTGGATAGTTGCCCATGGACATAAAACTGCAGCCTAATAATTTTTAGTTATTATGGGTGATAGCGAAACTCCACCATATTACACAATGCTAGTGGGATTTATTTAGTAAACTGAACAGAAACTCAACAAAGATAAAAGAAGCAATTTGACAGCACCTCACAATCTCTGGTGTATCTAAAAACGATAATACTTCCAAGGACAAGTAAGAAACAGGAAGCGCTAAACTCGTAGTTTACTGAACAAGGCTCTGCTACTGATTCGACAGGGAGAGAGAGGGAAATTGATAGCTTTTTCTTACTCTTAGCAAACTATTGTCCTTTCCCTTTATATATTATGCCTATCAAAGGAGTATCTCCATTGCACATCCCCTTTGTCCCATGTTAACAAACAACTAGTTCAATACAGGCAGACACTGACAGGCTAACTCGGCAGTTTCAAACCTCTACTTCACAGTGTCTGATACAAGTTAAGAGGAGTGACTGACTGGTTTGAAAAGTACTTAACATTTCTTAACGCTGTTTGGAATGACTGCATGAACAGTTACTTTCTCATTTTGATGAATTTTAGACTGGCTTAAAAACTGAGATGGAGATCTACACCTCTTCACTTGTATTTTCCTTTCTTTCTTCCCTTTTCTTTTGTGTGTGTGTGATAAGGACACCTCTTCAATTGTATTTCATAACCAAACAAGGAAAATGAACTTAACAGTTAGCACTAACCTCTTGATTTCCCCTCCTGCCGTTTCCCCAACCAAGCACAGTATCACCTGATGGAGGTGATAGAGATTCGAGAAGCAGGCTTATATGGTTATAGTCAATTATCTATTTTTGCTTTTACAAGTCCAATGGGGTTTAGTTTTGGAAGAGGAAATGCAAGCTGATTGATGTTATAGCGAGTGGCGGAACCACAGCCAATGAAGGGGTTTCAATTGAACGCACTTTGTTGGAAAACCGTACTGCATAAGTAGAGCAAAAAACAATTATTTCATATATATCCAAATTTTTGAATCTCCTTGAACATAAGGTTTTCATTATGGTGGCAAAGGTAGTTCAAAAATTGCTTTAGATCCTAGGTCCGAATTTTTTGAATCCACCTTGTTAAAATTACAGGTTCCGCCACTGGCTATAGCCACGGTAAGCTTAACTTCCAACTGGAAATATAGATTATACTACTTGTACTCTAGCAGGTTTCTGATATTAGCTTGAGAGCAACCAAAGTTGGACAGCCATTAGGTAGTTCAAAAGTTCAGAAAATGAAAGATTTCGATCAATCCAATTAGCCATCTACATTCCAACCTAATTTGACATAAACACTATATGACATAACTAACAGTTGAAACACGCAATCTTATTGTGGCGCTTGAGCAGAGCTCCACGAAATACACAACCAGCAACTGCTGATAATTTTCTCGACTACATAATAGACATGTAAAAATGATAAACCAAACATCAAATGAAAAAAGAATATAAAACTTACATATTGGCTGATTAACACAATTGCGACGTCCTCTCTTGTGGTGAATTCCTTAAAAGCATCTTCAATCTGCTTCACTGTTGTTTCTAAACATGAGATAGGAAATCTACATTACTTTCTATCCAAATATTGGAAAATGAAAAACTCTACCACTCAAAGGAGACGCCAGCTTCCATTATTCCATCCCTCATCAGCAACTAAATTAGAAATATTATTTGAGCCCATTATCAATAGAAAAGGTCAATCTGTCTGGTTATAGGGTCTAAACACATATGATTGACTCTATTCTGAGTTGAGCAAGAGAGTTAACCAAATAAAAAATGTATGGCATATATCTTTACATGTCAAAAAATATAATGACATACACTTATACAATTGAAAGTCATTTATTGAAATCACATTTGGGCTCCTTAAGCCATAATCATAATGACAAATCCTTTATACCGGGAGTACCATCTAGACACAGACATCAAGATATACCACTATGAGAACAACAATGTCGAAAATAAAGTGTTAATGCAAAATAGTACTTTGAGAGCTATTATTCAAGAGAACATTACATGCTAAATGTAAAAGCATAGCTGAAGCATGTAACATGAGACAAGCGGGGTTGCTCTGATGGTAAGCAACCTCCACTTCCAACCAAGAGGTTGTGAGTTCGAGTCTTCCCAAGAGCAAGGTGGGAAGTTCTTGGAGGGAAGGATGCCGAGGGTCTATTTGGAAACAGCCTCTCTATCCCAGGGTAGGGGTAAGGTCTGCGTACACACTACCCTCCTCAAACCCCACTAAGTGGGATTATACTGGGTTGTTGTTGTTGTTGTAGCTGAAGCATGTAACATAAACATAGTCATTTATTTCCTTCACTAGCCAAATGAATATTATTTCCTCCCAAGGTTAATTCCTCCTTTAGAAAGGAAGCTTGCAACATCTAAAAGTGTTGCATCCAAATTGCCATGGTCAAGAGCAGGATTTGCTTAAATATTTTCTTCTTTATCTTTTAATGACGCTCGGTAAAAACCAACAAGATGCTTTAGCGTACGACAAGTATGTACTTAATGACCCATCATGCCAAATCGATAGCATTCATTTTCCATATTCTTTTTACTTTGTCGACTGTTATCTTTCTCTTATTCTCTACGTTGTTATGCCCCTTCTACAGTTAGATCAAGATATGACCTGATGATAAGTGTAGTGCTTATTAAAGTCACCATGACCACAACACCACAACTATGGTCGCGGCTACATCCATAAGATCTATTAGCTGTTGTCTCATTCATTTCTGGAGATAGATGGAAAGCATGCTCCTAAGTGAAATTACATGGAGAAAAGATCACTGATGAGGATATGCTGGAGAAAATATTATCAACTTTTCATGCCTCAAATTTACTCCTACAACAACAATATCGTGAAAAACGTTTTAAGAAGTACTCAGAATTGATTTCATGTCTCTTAGTGGTTGAGCAAAATAACCAACTATTAGGGGAACAATCAAGAAATATCATGTTGGATCTAGTCCATTCCATGAAATGAACACGACACCTAATAGATCTTATGGAGTCATAGATGTGATCGTGGTGGCTACAATAAGCACTATACTAAGCATTAAGCCATTTGTCACCCCTAAGTGCGGCAAAATAGTGTAAAGAAGAGGAAGAAAGATTAACGTGGACAATAAAAATTATGAGGAATAAAGTTATCAATATGGCATGAAAGATCATCAGCTTCAGAGCATATTGGTGATCTTTACCAAGCATCATTAAAAGGTAAAAAAAAAATATTGAAACAAATATTTTATTCTTGACCATGGAAATTTTGGTACATTTAGATATTGTAGACATCCTCACTAAATGAGGCATTGACAAAATGATTGCTAACTACAAACTAGGGGTGTTCGTCCGTCGGTACGGTACGGTATATAGACATTTCAGTTCGGTAGTTTCGGTATTCGGTTTCCTAAAATCCTATATCGTACCTAATTAAATTCGGTATGGTTCGGTTTTCCTCATTTCGGTTTCGGTTTATTCGGTTTGGTAACTTCGGTTTATTCGGTTTGAATACTAACTAGTGCATATAGCCATACACTCTAATATTCTTAATTAAAGTATTCAAAAATACAAAACTGAAAATGTTTGTTGACAAAAATTTTATCCAAAACTAGCAAATATCGACCCAAATAGAGAAAATTGTACATAAAAGAATATTTGATCATTAGAAATGTCTTGTTACTTGTTTAGAGTTAATTGATGAACTTTGAGAATAAAGGAAAGTAAAATTTTAGAATTTTTATATTTATATTATAATTGATAATATGTGTTTTGTGTAATATAATATATATTTTGGTACAGTATCGGTATTTCGGTATTTTATTTTAAAATACCAAATACCATACCTAATACCAATTTTTTTTAAAAACTTAAACCAAATACCGTACCAAATACCAAAATACCGTATACCAAATACCAAAAATTTCGGTTTCGGTACGGTAATTCAGTATTTACCAAATTATGCACGGCCTTACTACAAACACACCGTGCAACATATTTCAATGGTGTTGAAATAATGATCATATGGGCAGGGCAGTGATAGAAACATTTGGAAATATGAACTATTTAATTTACATGCTTTAACAACAGTATTAGGCTTAGTTATGTGATGTTCTCTAAATTTGCATGTAAACTTTATTTTCTACATGATATTGTCTTAGCTTATCTTCTTATAGATTACATATATGTAATACAAATCTTATTTGACAAAGAAGGTGATAGTTTTGACCTAAATATGTCTGCAATCATTTATAAGTGTATGTGTCTTGCAGAACGTGCTACGAACACAATATTGAAAGATAGCAACTATTTTTCGCATTTGAACAATGAGAACTGCAATGGCCAGCATCTAGTACAAAACTAATTTTTTCTTTACTAACAAGAGTGTCACGACCCTAAACCCAGACCCGGTCGTGATGGCGCCTCTCGTGAAGACAAGGCCAGCCGACACAACACCCAATTCATTTTTTACAATTAAAATAACATAATATAAGTCATTAACATGATTAAATCCCAAAAGAAACAGTGAAACATATCAATCTTGGAGATCGGGCCAAAGTCTCCTGAAGACCTGGAATCACAATGGGCACAGCTGGTGCTGCTGGAGCGTCCACAACTGGGACATGATCCTGAACTGGGGCGGCTGGTGGATCTGCAGGTGCTGCCCCGGCTGCTGTGCGGGCTGCACCTCTACCCCTACCACGGCCTCGACCACGTCCTCGGCCTTTAGTGGCCCCAACTGATGGTACTGGTGGTCGTCCATCCTGACCGGTCGCTCGTCTCCCCACCATCTAGTGGACTCCGAAAATCTGCTGGTAGCTATCAACCCTCGCTAGCAGGACCTGAAGCGCCTAAATCTCAATCCGACCTAAACTCTAGCTCGCGATGTCTTTGCCCCTCGAATCGGCCTCCGGATGCTCCAAATCTCAATGAAGTCTCCTTGAATTCTCTCTTCAAAATCGCCCAAAAGCTCCAGAAATCGTGTTTAAAAATGGTGAAACTTCTTAAAATCGCGAAGGAAAGATTATATACATTCTGACCCAGGTTTTTCGCACCTGCGGTCCTAAACTCGCTCCTGCGTAACCGCTTCTGCCGTCTAGACCACCGCACCTGCGGTTTTCACTAAAGTCCTCAATTTCCGCATCTGCGATGCCTAACCCGCTTCCCTCAACCGCTTCTGCGGTTCCTGCCTTCGTAGGCTCTTTTCGCTTCTGCGCCTAGTCTCCCGCATCTACGGGGTCGCACCTGCGATCCTTCAACCGCAGATGCGGTTATGACAGCAACAATATGGCTTCAGCTTCCCAACTCAACTCCAAACCTTCCGTCAACCATCCGAAATCACCCTGAGGCCCCCGGGACCTCAACCAAAAGCACCAACAAGTCCTATACCACTATCCAAACTTATACCAATCTTCAAAACACCTCAAACAACATCGAATCAACCAAAACACATCGGATTCAAGCCTAAGGTTCTCAAAATCTTCCGAATTACGCTTTTGATCAAAAAGTCTACCAAACCACGTCCGAATGACCTGAAATTTTGCACACACATTCCAAATGACGCAACGATTCTACTGCAACTCCTGGAATTCCATTCCGACCCCTATATCAAAATCTCACCTATCAACCGGAAAACGCCAAAATACCCCTTTCGCCAATTCAAGCCTAAATCTACTACGCACCTCCAAAACACATTCCGATCACGCTCCTAAGTCTCAAATCACCTTCCGAAGCTATCCGAACCATCGAAATTCATATCCGTGCCCTCTAACACATAAGTCAATATCCGGTTGACTTTTCCAACTTAAGCTTCCTCAAAAGAGACTAAGTGTCTCAAATCTTACCAAAACCTTTCCGAACCCGAGCCAACCAACCCGATCACATATAGAACCGATAAACAAAGCAATAAGAAGCAGAAATGGAGGAAACGGAGCGGTAACTCATGAAACGACCGGCCTGGTCGTTACAAAGAGTATATTTGCAGTCAATCAAGTTAACAATATCAATACGTATGTCATTTTGATGCAGAGAAATATATACAGCCCAGAAGCAAATGAAAGATTCTCGAAGCTAATAGCGAACTGGTAATTCCAAACTTGAAACTTACTTGAATCCACAATGAGGTAATTTGTTTTTCTCCTCAAATCAACATTGCCAACTCCAGCCAGTAAAAATCCTGTAATTGTGTCCTACATTAACAAGTTATTTCCATAAGCATCAGTATGTCTAGATACTTAAAGTGGTCAATGCATAGACATAAATAAACAAAGAAACACAAGATTAAAAGTCCATTACCGACACAAGGGAAATAGAGCATAGTCTATCGATTTTAATCATACATAACAACGCCCAAAAATTTTATGATGAAAAGTTCACCTCATCGGCGATCATGGCAATAAGGGCTGAGTTGCTAGTTTTGATAGGAGCTCGGTTAGCCATCTGAAAGAACAAGGTTTCTGCAATCGCAGAAGATATCAAATAAGAAACAGTTTTAATCAAATACTAGAATCACAAAACAATCTTGAACTAACAAATTCAGATATCAAACTAAATCCTAAACTATTAACAAAACACCACCAAAAAGATCAGATGTAACTAAAGATTTAAACAAATTTCAAGTTCTAAATGAAATTGAATAAACTAATAACCAGATCGAAATCCTCTGAAATAACAGAATTGAATGCAAGAAGAAGTCTAGTAGTGCAAGTGCAACAGATTTTTCAGCTTACTTGGAAGTTTTGAGCTTAAATTGAGGATCCAATCTCTAGAGACGAATCGAGGAATGAAGAGGGAGAAGGCTGATGCTATTTGCTGAGAGTGTCGGCTAAGCCCCAAAAGTTCCAACGTGCTCACTACTGACCACCTCTTAGTTTAACACTTTAACCCAAAGAAAGAAAAAGAAAAGAAGCATTGTTACCTTGCCAGAAATCACACGACACATGTATATTCTTAGGGGTTGTTTGGTTGATGATATTGTAGTAGATCCGAACATAAGTTCGTATAAATAATATCAGCAAAGGCGACCCTCTCGAGTTTCCGGCTGTTTCCGTCATTAAAGTAGCCTTTCGTCGTCCTACCAAACGAAAGAAGTCACTATCAAACAGCTCGCCCTATTGAAGTACCAAAGGAATTTGGTTTCCCACATAAGCTAAAATACTTGTCACGTAATTAATGTAGTTTTCTATCAGCAGTATTAAACAATAATTGCATTAATTTATGGGGCAACTGCACATCTAGACTCTGTTTGGCCAAGCTTCTAAGAGGTCAAAAGTAATTTTTTTGTTAAACTTATTTGAAACTATAAGTTGTTTGGCCAAAATAGAGAAGTCTTTTAAGCAGCAGTTTTTCTGCTTTTGGGAAGAAGCTACAAATCGCAGAAAATTAACTTTTTCAAGACAAAAATATCCTTACTATAAAATTATATTTCTTCAATCATCCCATATTAATTTAACCTTTACTTTTTTTTCTTTCTACCATCCCTTTCTTTTCTTTTCTTCTCTTTTCTTTTCTTTTATATTTACCATATTTTTATTTTTCTTCTCTTATTCCTACTTGAATAATCTCTCTACTAAAAATAGATATCTTCTTTTCTCTTCTATCGTTTCTTTTTTTCTTTGTCTTCTATAACTCTTTGAAATAACAAGGCTAATCACCAGATCCAAGCACTTTCTTGTATGATTTCTTCCTCTTATAGTATACCAATATTTTATGATCTTCACTTTGTAGTTTTATTTATATATTTTCTTGGTGTGCATGCATATAATATAGTTGACATAATGCAATATTACCCAGTTTATTTTTCTCAAGAATAATCGATGGTGTTTTTTATACAATATAACTTGTAAGAACATGTATTCCTACTATTACTATTGCTTCTATATACTTATATTTTATATTGAATTTAATGGCTTTCTGGCCACTTGAACTTGTAGGGCTTTTAAAAGTCGATACATAAATTTTAAACTTTGCCATTTGAACATCGAACTCATGATTCCCTTAACTAATAAACACATTTGACCATTGAGCCTATGCGCGTGTATTACACATACATAGACATGTCCATCCGATCAGCAAATGACCAATGAATTTGTTACACTTCAAGGGCGCGAAAACAAAATCCAACTGATCGGGGTCCCCGCTCTATTATTCAACAGACCGACCAAAAAGTCACTCATTTTACCTCTTACCTCTCTCTATCCAAACCCTCCCCTCTTAAACCTAGCTTAGTAATGGCCTGAAAAATCAGCCACCCCTTCCAAAATCGATCAAGACAGTCGCCCATTATTTGGTTTTCATATATTATCTGTTAATCTCATTCTGGTCTGTGCTTTCGATTCCATTGACGTTATAGGATCTGAAGGTTAGATGTCTCTTTTGATGTCGTTTTCTCTTGTCATATGTTTTTTTATGAAATAATGTGTGATAGTCAGCTATATTTTATCTACATGCACAAACTATTTGGAATTTGGAATTTTAAATTAGGGTTTTTGGGGAAAACAGTCAAATCTTAACTTTACTTTAGGGATTTTGTCTCTTTTGATGTCGTTTACTATTTTGTCATCTAATTTCTTATGAAATAATATGTGATAGTCAAAGCTATTTTTTGTCTACATGCACAAAATATTTGTTATTATTTGGGATTTTAAATTAGGGAATTTATATTTTTCATGACTGATCGGGCATTTAGGATTAAAAAATTAGGGCTTTTTTGCATATCAAAATATTCTTGTCTCCCACTATGATAAAGTTATGGATTTTTAAGGTTAAGGTGTATCTGACTTGGCCTTTTTTTTATTATAGGTTTCAATGGTTGTATATGTGAAATTACAGTTTCATCATCTAGGGTGGTTAGTGGCCGACCCATTTATGAGGTATGTAAATGGGCATATTTGGCCAGTTATATTTCAGGCTGACATTGATGAATTGCATATAATTCGTTTTAATGAGTGGGCAAAGGATATGGGGTACTTAACAGTAGATAAATATGCATATAAAATTAACAAAAAAAAAAAGAGAATTTCTAAAATATGATGTTGATGTGTTAGCTTTGTGTAAAGACCTTAAGGATGAGGATTTTGTTGATGTGTATCTATGTCACACAATTAATACACTATGTGTTTATTTGGACCTGGATGAAATGTTGAGTAGTAGTGATATAAATGTGGACCTCACTAATGTTCAACCATGTTGCTTTAATGAAATGCCACATGGGCAAACAAGTGATGTTAATGTTAGGGCAACACACTCACCTAACAATGATATAAATAGGGGTGATAACACTCATGGGAAGGGTAAAGAGAGGGTTGCTGATATAGAAGAAGATATAGAAGAGGATACAGAAGGGTCTAGTGAAGATGAAGGTGAGTTCTACAACTTTCATTTAGCAATTGATTCTGAGGGTGATGTTGAGGGTGATGAGGGAAGTTCTGAGAGTGAGGATGGTCATTATGAAGCTATTTCTGATTATGATACAGATGAGTCATTATATGGTACTTATGAGTATATTCTTGGAGAGACAAGTGGTCTAGAACCTGAAGTTATTGCTGCTAGACATGCTAAAGTGAATGAAAAGAGTAGTAAATTAAGATCTAATGAAGTTGATACTGATGAGATACCTAGTGGACCTGTAGGTATAGACCCTGATTTTGAAGATATGTATAAGGATAGGAGTTCTAAATATGCTGAGAAGTTGGGAGGGGATGAGCAATACCTAGACAGTTCAGATCTAGGAAGTGAGGATACAAATGATGAAGTAGTTGAAGAAGATGAGGTACATAACCCTCAACCAAGAATATACAACAGCACGGTATACTTTGATCTTGCTTGCAAGAAAATTTGTTTCTAGTTGGAAATAGTTTTTGAAAGTGTTAAACAGTTCAGAACTGCTTTGCAAAATTATGTTGTACAAAGTAGAGTTCAAATTAAGTTGAGGCCTAATAAGCAACATATGGTTAGGGCAACATGTGTGAACTCAACAAGATGCAAATGGTATATTTTGGGAAGCTTGGAGGGACAACACGGGCAGCTAAACATTTCAAGGACAAGATTATCAACCAACCTAACAAAAGCTTAGGAAGTTGCACGATTTGATTAGGATAAAGTATGGTGTGTATGTGAAAAAATTCATATGTGTCGGGGCTAAACATCAGGTCATAGGTAAGTATCTGGGTGATAAAAAGCAGCAGTTTGCTAGAATGTATGATTATGCTGACATGCTGAGGTCTACAAACCCCGGCAACACTGTTGTGTTGAAGAATTCAAAGGAGACAATACCTGGTAAAGAGGTGTTTGTGGGGATCTATATTTGTATACATGTTTGCAAAGTAGGTTGGTTGGAAGGATATAGAAATGTTATTTGCTTTGATGGAGCATTTCTGAAGGGTGTGTGTAAATGTAAGATACTATCATGTATTGGTAAAGATGGTAACAACTAAATATACCTTGTTGTCTGGGCAGTGATTGAAAATGAGACAAAGAACACATGGTCATGGTTTTTTAGATGCGTGATGCATGATTTGCAGCTCACAAAATCCCAAGGTGAAGGGCTGACCATCATTTCTGATATGTAGAAGGTATATATTTCTTTTTATTCTTCCTGTAATTATTTTATATATGTTTATGATATTCTAACTCTTTTTCTTGTTGCTTAACGGACTTGCAATCTGTGGCTGAGTTGATGCCAAATGCTGAGCACAGAATGTAAGCAAGACACATATGGAACAACTGGAAACAAAAGTGGAAAGGTGAGGAAAAAAGGAATAAGTTTTGGGCCTGTGCAAGAGCTTCATTTGAAGCATATCTCAAGGCTAAGATAGATGAGTTGGCAGAATTGGGTGATAGTAAGATTTTTGAGGATTTACTTAAATACCCCAAAAAATATTTGTGGAGAATTCTCTAAAGATTGGAGTAAATGTGATTCTGTGGAGAACAACATATGTGAGACTTTCAACAGTTGGATCATGTCTGCTAGGCAAAAGTCTATCATAACCATGTTAGAAGAGATTAGAGTGAAGGTGATGGAGAGGATGACTACCATGAGAGAATTTGTAACAAGGTGGATTTATGATGTATCTCCTATGGCAATGGGTTACGTAGAGGAACAATCTCAATATGCAATTAGGCATGAATTTAAATGGAATGGGGATACTGAGTATGAGATACAACATGGGGTTTACAAACATATTGTTGACTTTGTCAACAATACATGCACATGCAGATCGTGGCAGCTTAAAGGAATACCATACTCCCATGCAATATGTGCAATATTTTTTAGGAGATTCGAGCTTGCTGACTATGTTGTTCACTGGTACATGAAAGAAACATACCTGAAGACTTTCAGTTGTTACATGTTACCAATATGGAGATGTGGCCATCAACTCAAAATCCCACTGTTGAGCCTCCTGTAATTACTAAGATGCCTGGTAGACCTAAGAAAAATAGAAAAAAAGCTCGAGATGAACCTAAAAAGAAGTTTAGTAAGAGATCAAGGAAAGGGACACCAATGACATGCTCTCATAGTAAGATATTAGGCCATAACAAGAAGGGGTATCCTATCATGGTTAATGATTAGAAAATGCATTCATTTTGTTTTTGTTTGTGACTTGTATTTTATTTGTTTCTATAACTTTTTTTTTGGAAATTTCATAAAGGACAAGGATCTGGAACTGCAGGTACCAGAAATGCTAATTCTACTCAAGGAACAACTCAACCATCAACTGCTGCAAGTAGTTCTAGAACTGATGGTACCAGAAATACTCAGGCTGCTCAAAGAACAACTCAACCATGAGCTGCTACAAGCGGTTATAGAACTGCTGGTACCATAAATACTCAACTATCTCAGGCTGCAGGTAGATCTGGAACTGCTGCTACCATAGATACTCAACCATCAGTTGTTGCAAGTGCATCTGTAAGTAATCATTTTTTACTTTAGTTAAGCTGTATTAGGACCATCATTTTTACATTATTAGATAGTACTTTATCCTATATCAGGATAATGGAAGTATGAGATCAAGGACTTCTGAGGATATTTTATATGGTGTTAGAGGAAGGCCAAGAGCTATTGGACCTCGAGGAAGACCAAGAAGTCTGGATTTGGTATCTTGTTTTGTGATTCAGGGACAATGATAGAAAGGGTAATTGATTTGGATTTGGAGTTTTATTTAGATATTAGTAGTTTGGGTGCTAATTTGACTTTCTATGCAGTGCGGATCAAGAGATGGGGTACTTTCTGGTCCTACAAAAATAGTGAGTGCTTGGCAGACTAATATTAATCTTGGATACAGTGCACCTGGACTAAGGTGGCAAGGAAAAAATGCTATAACACAAAGGCAACTTCAACAACAGTTGAGGAAAAGACAAACTCAAGCAAGCCTTAGCCAATCTTAAGTCCATTCTTCATCTCAACCAAGCCAGTCTCCATGTCCCAACTTGAGCCAATCTCAGCAAAACATCAACCACTCTCAACCATAATGATATGCTAAATGTTTATTTTTGTGATAGCTTAAGTCTGTTAGTTGCAAAACTTAATTTGTAGGTTAACTATGGATGTTTAAGTATGGCTTTTATTTTGGCACAATGTTTAAACAGTTTCTGCTACTAGACAACATTCAGTAGCTAATCTTGTCAACCAAGAAGGCCGATCGGACTTGGTTGTTTATATATGTATGCTTGTTTATGTCAAACATTGCTTTTCATTCCACCAAAATTCATCATACATTTTGTCATTATCATTGTATATAGGGTTATAAAGAAAATTACAATGATTAGTGCTAACTAGACTAAGAAGAAAATTACAATGATAAATGCTAATACAACAACTGAAGTTACAATGATCTTTACCCTCTTCCTACGCTGTAGTCGATCTCTCTCTCTAATTTTTGATAACAGCCCTGAAATCACTTGTTTGATCTGGAAGAGGTGGGTCAAACCACCTAAAAAATTACAAGAATTGTTTCGACCGTAATTTGAGCACCCATAAAACCTTTTTCCTGAATTTGTTGGCTTTCAAGTGATGCAAAATTTAGCTTCAACTCCACAATGACAAAATATAGGACTTTGCATCATTTTTATAGCCTGAAAAAAAGAAGAAAAAAATTAAATGGAGCTTCAGATTTTAGAACGGAAGAATGGAGCTTCAGATTCTATATAATGGAGGGATAATATTTTACAAGGAATGAATAAAACCCCACTTAAATACAACCCATTTTGGACCGTTGGGCGTAGGGCTGCTTATCGGGCGGATTGGGCGGTTATTTACTCTTAACGGTTTGGCTTATCGGTTATCGGCTTTTAGATGTATTAATTCGCTAGCCACCCGATAAGATATCGGGCGGATTGGTATCGGTTTAGCTCTTATCGGGCGGTTTATCGGCCTAATTCAATCTATATTGCACATGACGCAATTTACCAAATTTAGCGAGGGTCCAAAATTTGCTTCGTCGTGCTTCAAATGTATGCTGATGTTGGTCAAAGAATGGGATTTCTTGCTCTTGTTTTATAACTGCTCCAATTTTCTTGAGATGTCGCTCTAATTTCTAAACAATCCAAGAACACCTGCCGAAATGTGTGCGGACTGACGTTTTTTTTTTACATGCAAGCAAACCTGCAGATGTATGTGTTAAATCCAATTTAACAACATATTCTACTCGTTAAACTATCTCTTGTTTGTTAAGTTGTGGTACTTCCACTGCACCTACTGAAGGTGGTAAGAATACGTGAAGCAATCAAGTAAAATGTTTTTGGTTTGATAGGATTGAAAAGAATGCGCGAAGCAAGCAATTAAAATTTGTATAATAGTAAATTAGTAATAGAGAATAGAGATAGAGTACTGGAAGTGGAAGAAGAGTTTTTGATTATTTAATATATATATATGGATAAAAATAAATTATATATATATATATATATATATATATATATACATATATACATATTCTTAACGGGTTAATGGATTATCCGTTAAGAAAATTGAATAATCCGCCCCCGAACCAATAAGCCGTAATAAAAAAAATTTCAATCCATTCCCCGTCCGTTAAACCGTTAACCGGTACCAATAAGCCATTAAGCTTCGATTTCGGTTCGGTTTTCGGTTTCGGTTCGATTTTGAACACCCCTAGTTGGGCGTTTGGAAGAGGGCTCTCACGCTCCTGTGCGTTGTGTTCCTCACGCAGCAGGCTGATTAGGACCAACTGACGCCACATGGGCATGGTCAATGGTCAAATGTGTTTATTAGTTAAGGGAATCATGAATTCGAGTGTTCAAATGGGAATGTTTAAAGTTCATGTATCGTCTTTCAAATACCCTACAAGTTCAAATGGGAAACCTTAATATATATTACTTTATATTTTATAATTTATTATAATTACATAGAAATAAAAAATTAATTAAATTCTTTTATAATAAAAATACTTAAGATTTCTCTTTTTTAAATAATGCTAATGTAAACTAATCTTTATTGTTCTTTATCGTAATTTGATACTCAAATGTACTTTTTGGAAAGATTGGCCAAACACAATTCACTTATCAAATATCACAAAAAGTACTTCTGAACGAATTGGCCAAACACAAACTGCTAATATCTAAAAAGTACTTTTCCGAAAAATCACTTTTGAACAAAGTACTTTTCAAAATAAGTAGTTTTTGACAACTTGACAAACGAGCTCCTAGTTATTCTCAGGGGTGCTGTTTAGAGATTAGTCAATACTTATTTTATTCTGAAATTTTAAACTAAAAATCTTTAACTTAGGACAATTCAGGATATATTTTCCCAAAAAATTAAACTGAAAAACTGAAATTTAGGACGTACTAGCTAATTCTTAAATAGCAGCCCTTTAAAGTAGCTATCTAGTGTTATTTCTACTTAATTTATGCAAAAAATATACATATTTTAAAATAAAAATAGCATAGAATAAAAGATGTTACATTAGCAAATGCGAAAATTAAGTTATTAAAAACAAAAATAATCTTTTAATAATAAGTATTTCACATATAATATCTAATTAATTACTTCATAGCAGTGTCTCCATTTATTAATTAGCAATTAGCAACAATTGGAGCATTATGTTCCCACAAAACTACTCCTCAGGATAGTTTGATGGCCAACATCACCTAAGGCTTAAGTAAGGAAGTTGATAATGTTGATGCATAAGGGGTTATGGCCAAGCAGCTCATCAGCTGCTGTTTTGCAGCCAACAATTGGGCTTTCACGTCAACCCAAATTCCTCAAAATCAAAGCTAGTTTTTCCAGCTACCCTCTTGCCAGCAAGATTATGGTTAGAAGTAAGCAATCTACTCCCTCTTCCTTCCTTGTATTTTATCTCATTTCTTCGTATTTTTTTTTTTTTTTTTTTTTTTTTTTTTGTAATTTCTGATATATTTATTGATGTTGAGTTTGTTATATCAAGAACTGTGCTTTATCCTAAAAGAGGTTCACTTGGCGTGAATTCTTTCCCCACCTAACGGAAAGGAACTTTAATCTTTTTTCTTTTGTTCACTTGGGGTAGGAGGTGTCTTATTGATTTAAAGAAATTTTATTTTATCCTTCGCTGGAAGGAAATTTGTCTTCTCCGTTCAGTTTTCTTATCTTGTTAAGTCCAGTTGATTGTACTCCACCTGAGCCCCTTATCTCTGAAATGGTGGAAAGTTCTTGGGAGCTTTTCTGTCCACTATATATTTCTGTAAAATATGATCTTTGTTTCCAATAACTGAATCAAGTACTTATCCTGTCGAATATGATAATGTCTTTAATGCTTGACGAGATAATCTGGATATCTGATGGGATGAAATTCGAGAAATCTGGATACTAGGTTAGGTTAACTGGATGGATGAAATTCGATTACTTTCTTTTAGCCCAGATTTTCTTCTCTGCCTAATGTCGTTGGAGCTAGAAAAATATAAGATGCTTGTCAAAATATAATGCAAATAAAAGATGACATTAGCTTCTCAGAGGTGGTATCGGAATGAAAGTTTACTGCTTGAATCAATATTAGAGAAATGATTATCCCCGTCAAACATGTGTTAGTTATAAGTTTTACCTAAGGCTTATGAAAGCTAAACCTTTAAGGTTTTTGAAGCTTGGATACAACATCTGGAGGTCCAAGCCAAAACTTTGTTGACTTACTTTCTTTCCCAAGAAAGGGTGAGCAGACATGAAACTAGAAAGATAATAAGTTTGTTGGCACTTATTGTAGTCTGAGTACTGTTTGGCACCAGTAATGTACAACCCACTGCTTGCTTGCTGTTTCTGACCAAACAGTGAGAATGAGATCTTGTAACAAGTGATAAGCCTCATAGAATTGTATGTTTTTTTATGCATTATCTTGCCTCTGCAGAGATGCAGTAATACTAACTAATAAGACTCCTCGGAGCTTACGTTTCTTTATGCTATATCTTGTCTCTGCAATCTGATACTAATAAAAAAAGTAGACATCACAACATTGTATATGTTGATTGGACCGGGTGGCTTTGGTGAAACCATCAATCCATCATTGTGAAGATTCAGGACTTTGATCTTGTACTGCCTATGCAATGGTTACATTTTTCTGCTTCATATAGGTGATAAAAGCTAGTGATGCTCTTCCATAGTGGTCGTGGTGGGAATAAATTGCATCAGCTTCTTAGTCTCCATGATTTCGCAACAATTATGCTGCTTCTTGTTGAAGAAGTTCCTCAATGATGCTGGCTCTATACAATTACCTGGTTCAAACTGTGTATCAGGCTGAATAGATTTCAGATCCTTTGTTTGAGTAGTTATGATGTTTGACATAAGTATACACATCATGTTGTAGGATAACATCCCAATTTTCGAGCTTAAAGGGCCTGAAATTAAAAGGGGCTGCAGGCTTGTAGTGCTTCAGCTAGGCATTATTTGAAACGTACAGCTCCTGGCTCTAGCTTTTCACTATAGTTCGCAAAGGAGTAAAATAGTGATATTAGAAAGCAATTACTATGTAAAATCCATTCTGACCATCCTTAAAATTCCAAAGTTAAGAAGAGTGTTGTCTTTGAGGACTGGAAGTGGTCATTACAGATATTTGCTTCTAGAAATAAAATAAAAAATTAAAAAAACAAGGTTACGTCGAAGGAGAGATATATCTCCATGTAATTCCATGAATTTCCCTTTAGGAACTATTTTCAATATCAGTTGGCGAGAAAGATGTTGGCTTTAGCGTTGCTTTTGGCCTTATCCATTTTGAGGGTAGAGAATGTCTAGACTGCAAGATACCCCATAGGATATTGTAAATATAGTAATGACGATAAAACAAGAATGTGTGTGCTAATTGAACCGGCTCTGGTGCTATGAAGGTGAAGTGATTATATGGTACTCCGAATTCTATCTTTTGTGTGTGCATCGTATTCTCTTTATTCTGTTCTTCCTTCCTCAAAAGCAACTCACTTTTTTTTTATTGTTCAAAAGCAACTCACCTTTTGATTCATCAGTAGAAATAGGCAATTACGGAGCACTTTAATGATTGATCAATGAGAATTGTGTAAACTGTAAACTTATTACCCTACATTTGCTAAGCATTACTCTCTTTTGTTCCTCCTTTTAAACTATTGCCTTCTGCTACAATGTTGTGTAAATAGACAGGCAAGAGACAAGATGATGAGTAGTAAACTCTAAGGACTTCTAGTTAGTAATATACATATACTGGAAACTTTCCTGGTGCTGCACAAAGAAGAGTCTCGAGAAAATTTCTTTTGCTGATACCACTAGAATGATAGGTTCTATAATTTAACTATATTAAGATGTTCTACCTTTAAGCATTAAGATGTCATTAGACACGATAGTTCTCATTCTACCAAGTTGTAAATGTATGAATGATGGTTTTTTATGAAAAAGATTAGTTTTGGAGCACTGAAACATTAGCTGCTTTTCAATTTCACACTCAGCTGCAAGTTCGCAATTTTCTTGCTCTCTGAGATACACATTTTTTTATTCAAAAGTTCTGGTTCTGTGAAGTTCTAAACTTTCTGTCTTATTCTGAACCATAGATTTACCATACTCTGCTGATGAAAGTTGTCTGGAGAAGATATTTTCAAATTTTGGCCAGGTGGCTGAAGGTACATGCCATTTCGGGGAGATAAGTTTCTTTTCTATTTTACTTTCTTCTTGTGGTTGAAACCTGCATTCTTAAATGTGTCTACTTCCCTTACCAGTTAAGGTGGTGAAGGATGAAGTGACCCGGAGATCAAAAGGATATGCATTTATTCAGTACACTTGTCAAGAAAATGCCATGCTTGCTCTTGATAGCATGGATCACAAGGTTATACCCCACTGAATTTGTTTTGGTTCTTAATTGTTGTGCAGTGTTTTTCTTTTTTCTCAAATTCTGTCTTCCCTTGTCAGTACCTCAATGGGAGGGTCATTTTTGTGGAAATTGCGAAGCCAACAAATAAAGACTTTGGCAGATACCCCAAAACTTGTGGACCACCTGAGGAAAGATTGCCATCTGAAAATGAGGTTCCAGATTTGAAAGAAAATCGTTAAGGCTTACACCGGTGTTAGAACGTTATTGCTAGATGAATGACAGCCGCAGGTACTCATTCTGGCAACTAATTTCTGATGCAGCTTCTTGTGGTCTTAATGTAAATTCTATTGCGGGAAAGTACAATTTTAGGTCATTCTGTTGGGATTAGTTTACTTTGTCTGTCATTGGAACCTCTGGTTTGCATCTGTAAGTCCAGGTTTACGTTGTATTTGTTCTCTAAGGCATAGAAGTAGAAGAGGCTAAGCATATTTTGTGTCATCTTACAAAACTCATACTTAGAATAATGTATATTAATAGCATACACTTGCTTTGTCAAACTTGGGTGTAACTCGTTAGATCAAGGTCTACTAGTATATCTGGCTTTTGACTTGGTGAAAATGAACCATGATGTATTGAACTCTTACAAGAATCTAGACTAGAGAGTTGAGTAAATGAACCATGTGTGTAAAGGGGAGTTGAGTTCAATCTTGGGACAACTGAGGTTACGAATTAGCTGCTTTTCTGTTTGACTTAGCTGTAATCGTTTGGATTATGAAATAAAATTGTAGATCAACTATAGTTTAAGCAACTGAGTATCTCATGAATGATACGATTTATTAGTTAAATTTGTTTTTTGAATTAATTAGTAGGTAAGCAGCTTATATGACTACAACGTGGAAGCCCAGCAAAGTTGAAGAACCTTTGAAGTACTTATTCTTTATGAATATCTCAGGAATATTCTTAAGAAGCTTCTTTTTTGACTATTTCAAAAGTTAGCTGTTATTAATGGAATATTCCACTCTTTGGAAATATTCTTTCTAGTCAATGTTACAAGATTTTTAATGTTTTTACACCATTAAAAAAATATTTAATTGTATTAATTATAAGAATATTTTTTTCTAAATTATCTTTTTGAAACATCTCACTTTAACAACACTTTATTATTTGGAACAGAAGGTTTAAATTTGATGAAAATTTACCACACGTCTTGCTACACCGGGGTCATAATTTTATTTTACCGAAAAGAGTCAAATATATTTTTTTACTATCAAAAATTGTTTAAATTTACCCTTCGTTATACTATTTGGTCATTTCTATCCCTACTGTTATACTATTAAACAAATTTGTCCTTAATTTTAACTATACTTGTTAAACGGGCCGGCAAGCCCACTGACAACCCGGTTCGACCCGATTCAGCCCAGTCCGCTAGGGGGTGGGACGGGTTGGGGAGGGTTGGGGGAGCCGGACGGGGACGGGTCTATGTTGGTAACTGGTGCCCCGGAACTTGGTTAGCCCGGTTACCCACTATCGGGTTTTTACCGAGCTATCACCCGGTCCGGCCCGGTTATCATTGGCCAAATTTTTTATTTTAAAATTTTTTTACCGTTGGGCAACAGCCACTTTTTGCAAATTTTGTCATTTCAGCCTACCCCCTTAAGAAAATAGCCCCCCACCCCTAATAATTAATAAATTAATATTTTAACCTTTTAAAACTATAAATAGCCCCCTCCCCCCTCCCCTTCTTCTTCATTTTTTTCTCACAATTTGCTCTCTTACTACTCTAATTCTCTCTCGATAATATTGCTCATTGCTCTCAAGTTCTCAATTACTTATTCTTTCAAGTTTCATCAAATATTTACTTTAGTCACTACAAAATTATAATTATCAAATATCAAGTCTTCAAGTGAAGTGTGGTATCAATATTCAATATCGTCAAATATCAATTGAAGTGTGATATCAAATCGAGTGCAGAATCCCGATACACTCGTTCCATCTCTTTCTCTTCTTTGATTTATATTTTTATTTTATTATTTAGAATTTTTAATTTAATTTACATAATGGATATATTTAGAGCAGCCAAAAAAGTGTGTACTGGTAGGGGTGGTAGTAGTAAGAGTAAAAATCCTAAAAGATTAAGAGGTGGTACTGATTCTTCTAGTAGCTTTACACTAATTTCTGAAAGTTCACCTGAAAATTTAAATGTAGATTATGAGCAACTTCAAGAAGATTATGGTATAAATGATAATTTAGATGATTTTCAATCACCTGATAATCTTGAAACACCACCAGCTACACTTGGTAATGCTAGTCAAAATATTAGGGGTGGAGGTCGTGGTGATACAGGTAAGCCTCCCCTCCATATTAAGAGGAATCGAAGATTAAGAAGTAAAGTGTTGGAATTTTTTTGAAAGACTAGAAGAAGATAAAAATTATGTAAGATGTTAAATTTGTAAGGAAGTTTATAAACATGAGACCGGAGGTAAGCAATGGGGAACGGTTCAACTTCGTAGGCACATGGTAGATAACCACACTATTGCATGGGGTTGATGAGGAAGGTGGGCAACAAAAACTTAACCTGGGTACTGACGGTTTAATCGGTAAATACGATATAGTGAAAGATCAGGATGAATTAGCTAAAATGATTTTTTTAGGTTGTTTACCTTTTAGTTTTACTGCTTCACCATATCTTGTTACTTATATTCAAAGAATTTATAACCCTTTGTTTAAATGTATTCCTAGAAGTACTTGTAGAGCTGATATCTTTAGGCTTTTTGTAAAATATCAGATATATATCCGTCATTTGTTCGCCAGTCTTTCTCGTAGAGTTTCTCTTACTTCTAATATTGGTCGTGCTGTTAATGAAAATGATTATTTGACTATTACATGTCATTGGATAGATGATAATTTTTTGTATTCAAAAAACGTATTATTGCTTTGAAATATGATGAAGATCAAAGTCATACTGGTCATTTATAAGTAATATTATCCATGACGTTGCTATAGTTTATAATCTTTCAGAAAAAGTTTTGTGTATGTCATTTGATAATACTTCTAACAATAATTCTGCTATTATACTCTTAGCATTGCTTGGACTCTATGGAATGAAAGAAATAGAAGATGTTTTGATGGCAAAAAGGAGAAGCTGCAATTTGTTAAATACAATTGCTTACATTACGTGTACTACTGGAGAGATGGAAATATTGTACTGTATTTACATAACATGCTGGAAATGCTTGATTGTTTAGGGTTTTAATGTTCTTCAGCTAGCTTTCTTTATGTAATTTTATAGTATCAGCTTGATACTGTTTTCTGTTTAATAAGATCCTCCCTTATCAACAAAAAAAAAAATAATTCTGCTATTACACTATTAAAATTGCATTTACACCCAACACTTCGTAAAATATTTCATGTGAGGTGTGTATGTATATTCATAATTTAGTTATTAAGAGTGGCCTTGAATTATTTAGAAATGAGATCACTTTAGTTAGAAGAGTTGTTGGGGTAATTCAAGGAATTAACAGAAGTGCTAGATTAAATGATTTAAAAGATAAATGTGGACAATATGGACTAAAATCAAGACTTATGCCTGAAGAAATAGTTACTAGGTGGAATTATACTTATTTATTCTTAAGATATTGTTATAAATATAAAATGCCTATAACTGAAGTTGCTAATTCTCATTGTACCGATCCTAATCGTTTGTTAAAATCTAGAACTTGGGATGTCATTGAAGATGTTGTAAAATTCTTCCAAAAATTTTATGTAGCTATTCTTGAGTATTCTATAGCTTATTATCCTACTATTACAAATGGTTTAGTTCATATTGCTGAAATTTCTCTTTTACTCCATAATTTGAAGAAGAAAGAAGGATATAGTTATGTTGTTGAATCTATGCTAGATAAATTTAAGAAATATTTCTACCCAATTCCCTCTATTTACCTAATTGGTGCTATTTTAAACCCTTCTATCAAAATGGAAACTTGTTGCCAATTAATCACTGTTTTATATGTTTATATGAATATTGGACCAACTGAAACCCTTTATGTTGAAACTTGTATTTTTGATCTACACAAACATTTTCAAACTTTATATAATTATTATGCTAACATTGTTGATGCTTTTGCTGCTGTAGATGCAAAAATTCCTTCAAGTTCAGTTTCAACATCTGCTTCCGGTGCTTTCGAGGGTAATGATGGTGTGGAAGATTATTTGATTTGGTCTACACTAGGACATCATCAACATACCAGTAGTAGGAATATTGATGAACTCCAATTCTACTTGCAAAAGTCACCTGAGACCCGCACAAAAGAATTTCTACCGCTGAGTTGGTGGAGGAGCAACTCAAATCAATTTCATGTTCTTTCGGCCATGGCTCGAGACGTGCTAAATGTACGAATTTCAATAGTCGCATCAGAGAGCGCATTTAGCCAAGCAAGGCAGCAACTAGGAGATACCCGTCATTCATTGGGCAGCAACGCTTTGGAAATTCTAGTGTGCTTCAGAGATTGGATAAGATCAGAATGGCGAAATCAAGGGCGCGAAGAGGTAGATGAAACGGAGGACCAAGAAATTGGAGATATAATGGTTTATGGTTCCGATTCAAGCAATGCCAGAAATTAAGAACCTCATGTTGACATGGATGAACTTACAAAAATGATGCAAAGCATGTGATGTACTCTTTCTTATTTTTTATAATTCTTGTAAGCTTTTAATTTGCAAGTTCAAAAATAAAATAATCAAAATAGAACTTGCAAATTAATTTGAAGTATTATTTAATATTCAATGAAAATATAAAATGAAAGCCTTCGGAATTTGATCCTTACATATTGGTCTTATTAAATAATTTTTTGTAGCCACTTACTTTCAATTTTAAAATATTAATTTCAAATTTCAAATTTAAAACATTAAACTTTAAAGTTTTAAAGTTTAATTCTAAGCCTTCAAATATTTATTTCCTTAATTGAAAGTTTGCAAACACTTAATTATCAATAATATTGAGTAAGAAAAATATAATATACTAAACAAAATAATAAGTAACGCGACCCGGCCCGGACCCGCTAAGCCTGAACCCCGACGGGCCCTAATTAACCCGAAATTTTCCAACCCAGTACCAGCCCGGTTAGCCAGCCCGAACCACTAACCGGATGGGCTATTTTTTTCGTGTCCAGCTCGAACCAGCCCGTCCGGTTAACATCTATATTTTTAACGGAGGGCCACATGTCAGCTCCTTATTAAAAGACTCATGCCCAATTTAATTTACCCGGTTCAAACTCACCTACCCAACCCGCCCTTCATTATTTCTTGTTCAAATATTGGGTTCTTTCATCTCCTTTACTTTGCTTTTTACTGTTGCCTTCACCAGCGAAGATGATTGACAAAAAAATGATTACTGGCCCATTAGCCATTTAAGTCATATCCTCCTTGCAAAATACCAAAAATATATAAAGTTGATTAGAAGTTATGGTTGAAATTTTAGTCCATCTGGCGCAGATAAGAGTTTGTGCTATAGTTTGTTTTGAAAAAATAAACGGAGAATACGACAAGAACTATTGGGAGATAGAAAGTAAGGGCGGTATAGTCTTTTCTCACAATTAGTTAGACATGTGAGGAACATGTGGTTATATACCCACACATGATGTGTTTCAGATATATAATTACAGATACAAGATCAA